AAATATTGATTTCTTAATTTTGGGTTGGAAAAGTGGGGGTCGTCTTGTACATGGGGGCGTCATTGTCGGAAAATTCCGATAATTTGGGAGGGTGGAGATGGAGCAGTTTGTAACTGCTGCAAAGAAGATCAGAAGTCGCTTCCTTAGATATTTTTCTTTCTCTCTGTTTTATCTTTCACTTTTTACTGTATTCTTTCGTATCTCCTTTTTTCTACTTTTCCTTTTATGTTTCCATAGGTTTTTTATCTTATATAAAATCATCTTTTTATTTATATATATATATATCATTTCTTGTCATCTTGACACAGTACCTCTGTTGGTGCAGCCCAAAACTGCATTGGCTCTTTTGGCAGTTGTGGCACATTGCTGGCTCACGTTTAATCTGTGGCCTACCAAGATTCAAAGATTGTTCTTACAAGTACTACTGCTAAGCCAGTACCACCTATCTTGTACCTGTGCATTTTTTTTCTGCCTAAGTGCAGAACTTTAAAATTCTCATCATTAAGCATACTACATTGTAGCATTCCCTTGGTCTACCAATCTAGTCAATTACGAAAGAAAGTAAGAAGTTTTGTCTGGAACACCCTGTTTTCAGAAATCCATGCTGACTTCTAGAACATCTAATTTTCTAACTAATGTAGAAGTCAGCATGGATTTCTGAAAACAGGTTGTTCCAGACAAAACTTCTTACTTTCTTTCGTAATTGACTAGATTGGTAGACCAAGGGAATGCTACAATGTAGTATGCTTAATGATGAGAATTTTAAAGTTCTGCACTTAGGCAGAAAAAAAATGCACAGGTGCAAGATAGGTGGTACTGGCTTAGCAGTAGTACTTGTAAGAACAATCTTTGAATCTTGGTAGGCCACAGATTAAACGTGAGCCAGCAATGTGCCACAACTGCCAAAAGAGCCAACAGAGTTTTGGGTTGCATCAACAGAGGTATTGTGTCAAGATGACAAGAAATGATGCACTGCTCCAGGGTGCACTGCTCAGCATATCAGTGGTGGAACAGTGCCCAGTCCTAGTCGCCGCAGTGCCAAAACGATGCTGAGGAACTGGAAAGAGGGCAAAGAAGAACAGCAAGAATCATAAGAGGCTTGGAGACTAAATCTTATGAAGAACAGTTAAAGAAACTGGGTATGTTTAGCCTAAAAACGAGATGGCTAAGGAGAGGGACATGATAGCAGTCATGAGGGAATATCACAGGGCAGTGAGTGTGAAATTATTCTCCAGAGCACCCAGATAAGCAAGACCCAATGGGTAGAAGCTTTTCAGTGAGAGATCCAAACTTAAAATAAGGAGGGATTTCCTCATTGTAGGAACAATTAAGCAGTGGAACAGCTTGTCTCCTGAATTTGTGGGTGCCCCATCATGGAGATTTTCAAGAAAAAATGAAATAATCATTTGTCCAGGATGATATGAGGATTCCTGTACTGGGCAGCAGGTTAGATTAGATGACCTCCAAGGTCCCTTCCAACCCTATGATTCTATGAATTGAAGCAAACTGATTCTAATACTGATGTTTTTCTAATCTGCAATGCACACAGTCAACTCTGTCTCTCTCAATAGGGGATCACCCACCATTATGGCACACCTCTTTTTTCTCAAGCTGGCTCTTAGTTTCTTTGATCCACAGAGATTTAAGTATTCTATGTTCTCTGAAGGAAGAGTCTGTACCAGTTTCCGAGCTCCATTGGCACCAAGTGCTTCTTTGGGGTATATTTTTCCATATGTTGACCTCTGTCAAAGGGAGTTTTTCCTGTTCTCTGGTTTCTTTTTCCCTTCTCTTGCCACCCCTGAAGAGCTTTAGCTTTGCTGTTCAGGAAATTCTCATTGTAGCATAGCAATCTTCTCCTCAAGCCCCTTCATTTACTCTTCCAATAAGAACATATGCTAGCACTAGTAGCAGTCAGATCTTTTAAGCCGAAAGACAAACACTTCCTTGATCATGATGATGCTTCCTTTGGTGTCCATGTTGCTTGCAGCCTCCCCTGCTGACCATTCTAGCCAAGTTCCCACACAATTTTTCTGTTTCCTTGCTCTAGTTCCAAGTTTCCAGAAACTACCTCTCTAGATAAAGACTAGCGTGAACTAGAACAAAAAAGGATAAAAAGAGGAGGAGGAAGAAGAAAGAAATCCTCTCCCCTATCCTCCCACACAAAACTCTCTTGACAAACTTCTGTTTATTCTCCTTGTTCCCTTCTCAGTGAGACTCTCTGGAAACTGAATTTCTTACACACAAGAGCAATGCTCCAGTCAGGCAGGTAAGCACACACACAGATATAATTGAATTTAAAAAGATACAATAAATGTTGGAATAAAATGCTTATCAGAAACTTGATTCAGGCTTCTGCAGTGTGGCCAGGCCAGTGGCCGGCACACGAACCAGAAACCTAGGATGAGGGAAGGTACCAGATAATAAAAGCACCTAAAAGCACGATAAGGCGATCACTGCTTGAGAAATACCTGATGCCACGTAAGCAAGTAGGGAAACGTATAACCATGACAGGCTA